ATATTATAACAAATGATATATGTGTCACATTTTAATAACAATATGTGGGGTTCAGTGAGTCCATTTTTCTGCCAGAGGCACTGAGTATATACTATGATCCACGTATATTTACCACAGGAAAGCATAGAACCTTTAGGCTGTTTATTTAACAAAAAGCAAGCAGCATAACTTTTAGAGCTGTTGAAATCCTGGTTTTGTTCTGCTATTACGGATGATTAGTTATCCAGCTAGATGCTGGAATAATCACCAGCATGGTAACACTAGGGTCGTGCCTGTCACACTATATCTACATGTAAATACATGGAGAACAAGACATCAGAGATTGCTAGTTGAGGATTACACAGTCAATCTAGACAATAGTCAGTAACTTGCTGATTTGTCAATAGAACGTGTTAATGTATTCATGGGATCAGAAGGCTAATTGTGTCAAATGACAGTCACACAACATCTCATAGGTACAGCTGATGCAGTCTTCTTTAATGTACTAGGAATGTAAGCAGTGCTGAAGTACAGTGAATGTTAAAGTATAAAACTACACAACCTTCAGAAAGTGCTTGGTTGTGTACAGAAGTGATTGTCAGGAAGAAAATGGGAACTCCCAGTTCAACATTAAGTTTAAATGGATGAACATTTTTGGAAAACGTAACTTAATGGTAAAACAAAACACGAACGTGATAATAGGAAGTATTTAATTAACGTTTCGTTTCCTCACAATTCCATCATCAGTAATATAGAGGTACAAAACAAACAAACAATATTTGTGATTACTGATTACGTTAATTAAATACTTCCTATTATCACGTTCGGGTTTCGTTTTATCATGTGTTTATATTGTTAATACAGAATTAGTTAATTCCTGATGGTAGAGATATCAAGATATTTGTTCCAACGTCGGAGAAATGTTTCAGTTCAAAGCACTACCTTTTATTTTAGTTATTTTTTTGTTGTTATTTCTTAAGTCAGAAATAATTTTACATAGTCTACTAGTTTTTATAATAAACGATCAAGTCTATTACATACTATGAACACCCTAGAAACAAATACAAAATTACACGTCCACTTCAGTAAATAATAATACTAATTCGTTCAACAATTTTTAAAGTATTTGGTATTAATTGATGAAAACGAAAGTTCAGATCATCTTATCTTGTTTATATATATATTTCAACATGACTGAAAATTTTCAATCGTATAAGAATTACGTGGAAATGTTCCATCCATCATAATATTGAACACTAGATAACTGCTGTAAGCTTTATGCCATAGAATGCAGTAATGTCACAATAACTGTGTCGACTTCCAAATTGTACTGTTGCTTTGTTTGCGTCACGTAACCTCCGAAACAATTTGTGTACAGAAATCGCGCTTCATACATTGGAGCTATGGATGAAATACAATAGTGATGGGGTCATATTTCAATAGCACTGCCTTCTCTCTAGTCTAGCATTTCAAAATGAGGAACAACTAATGCAGATATCCCTTGAGCAACTTTGTGCGAAAATTCAACAAACAATTAAATATCTTTATTATGGTTGACGTTGGTGTAGGTTTTAGAACCGGCTCTCCTCCTTTCAATTATGTAGTACTGTCGTATTATGTTTGTCACTGCGCAGTCTTGGAAACGGTGGCTTAAGTATGCCCCCACAATTGCGGAGAGTGGGGATCAAGATGGGGGGGGGGTTAATCAGCCAAAATCTTAATTACAGTTATACAAAAATAAATGTAGAGAGAGGGGGCAATTACTTTTTATACGCTAGGGTCCATCTGTTGTAACTACCCCACTGTCAGGGAGTGTGGCGCCCTCCTAAATTTCGAACACGGCGGTATGTCTGCGGATTTACAATGCTAGAAACCGGGTTTCGATACTCGTTGTGGGCATAGCACAGATAGCCCATTGTGTAGCTTTGTGCTTAATTACAAACAAACAAACATTATAATTCTCTCTTTAAGTACCTTTCATTTGTCGAACAAACACAAAGGTCGTCAGTTCAAGCTACTTACACAAACATGTCAAATAAAGGTCGAAATAAGTATATCGTTAAGTAATCCATTTCCCAAAATGATAAGACCAGAAGAAAAGATAAACTGACTTTGAAAAACTAAAGCTATTACATTTAACATTTACTCCATCTAAACTCAATAATACTACTGAAACTGATTATCCACATTTCTAGCTAATTTGTTTTAAACATCAAAATCAAATCGTCTCTTGTATTTCTACATTCTAGTATACCTGTCCGTGTTTTATTTCTCTCATCATAACTCAAATTTTTAGCCACGGCAAAGTGGCTCATAGAAGGGCTCTGAGATTTTTTGTTTTCATTTTCAAAGTACAAACTTTTAGCTCATAGCTCCGTCATCTCTTGACCAAGTTCAGATCTAATTACAGTTTAGGACTCAGGAGGTCACACTCTTTTGATCGGTGTATTTGACCATGCCCAAGATCTCATAAATTAATTTACTCTAATCCTGTCTAAATGAATTCAAGTGCCGCGGCTATTGAAGATTCTCTCTTGCTTATGTGGATATCAATCTAGTTAAAGATCATAAGTGCATATACATAAACTTAGATTCTAAATAGAACATCTACTGAAACATTTATTCAGATAACAAACGTGTTAGACCAATCCTTTCAAAATTATTGTCATATGAATTATCATTTATATTATCTTATCTTCATACCATTTGCGAATGAGATCTACAGTAGCAAGTTTATTTTACATTAAAATGAAACATATCTCTAGATTTTAATCTTACTTGAAGGGTCAGGGGCTGCTTCTTAAGTTAACCCTGTTATTACTCTTCGCATATCTGTATAAATGTCTATGAGAACATGTATTTAATTCATTTCCATCTATAGTATTCAAAGGTGTTGATTATATACTTTTTGAAATGGAATGCTCATTACCAAAAAGTAACTTAATAAAAAAAGAACTTGGAACATTTAGCTATTTAATAACTTTATACTATGCGTTACCTAACGAATAAATAGATTGGAAATGAGATAAACTTTGTTAGTCTGCCCATCATACCGAATGATTTCTTTTGTCGTAAAGCATTATGGAGCTTCCATGGCCTTTTAATTTGCCATTTAGTAACTTGAAGTGATTTAGGTGTATTAATAATATTAAATACTATATTAATGTTATATACGCACCACCATTACATGAGGCCTTAAAGTATTTCATTGGTTTGTTGAAACAAGCTGTACTGATGAGCCTTGATTAGACGTAACTACAGTCCACAGCAGAGGGTCCTGCGAATCAAAGAATGTGTTGGTTTTCTACGTCAAAGACTATATTATCAATTTGATATTTGGTGAAAAGTTATGTGATATCATAAATAAAGCTAATTTAATATTAGGTTTAAGTGTCTAATATGTTCTTTAGCCTTCCTAAATAAAGAGTCGTTTGATGGGCATCGTTAAACCAGTTACTTTACCATTGTCCCATGTGTCTTGTACAACTAGCCCTGATGAAGCCGCAATAGTAAAACGTTGGCAAAAATAAAAAGATGTTATTCTTATCTCGAGAGTAAAGATCGTTTTTTTTTTTACTTCATTGACTAAATACCTTCAGTATGTAATACAAATCTGAGAAACGCTAGCATTATAAACAGTATTATTGTTGACCTGAAAAGTTACCAGGTGTAACAGAAACATAGCATTATAAACAGTATTATTATTGACCTGATATTGTTCCAAGTGAAACAGAAATACTAGAATTATAAACAGTATTATTGTTGATCTGAGATGCTACCAGGTGTAACAGAAACATAGCATTATAAACAGTATTATTGTTGACCTGAGATGTTACCAGTTGTAACAGAAATGCTAGCAGTGAAAACAGTATTATTGTTGACCTGAGATATTTCCAGGTGTAACAGAAACATAGCATTATAAACAGTATTATTGCTGACCTGAGATATTTCTAGATGTAACAGAAACATAGCATTATAAACAGTACTATTGTTGACCTGAGATATTTCTAGATGTAACAGAAATGTAGCAATATAAACAGTACTATTGTTGACCTGAGATATTTCTAGGTGTAACAGAAACATAGCATTATAAACAGTATAATTGTTGACCTGAGGTGTAACCAGGTGTAACAGAAACACTAGAAGTGAAAACAGTATTATTCTTGACCTGAGATATTTCGAGATGTTACAGAAACACAGCATTATAAACAGTATTATTCTTGACCTGAGATGTAACCAGGTGTAACAAAAACACTAGCAGTGAAAACAGTACTATTGTTCACCTGAGGTGTAACCAGGTGTAACAGAAACATAGCATCATTAACAGTATTATTGTTGACCTGATATGTTTCTGGGTCAAAAGGAATCATCACCACTATAAATGCATATCTATATTTTATTGAGAAGCTACTAGTTCTATTTTTTAACATAAACACTAAAAGCTAGAAAATGTATTATTTCTAATCAATACAGTATTCCGATTACACCTATATCAGAGCAAGAAGTTTTTTAGGATGTATAGAATAGTTCCGTCTCTATAGTCATGTTAATGCATGTTAATATTGTGCCGTTAATATCTAAACACTGCTTGTGCATATACACGATGGTAAAATCTGCTTTAGTTCTATCAATAACACTGGTAATGAAAATATAAGTGCACACTATGCTAGAACAGAGGTGTGTTAAGGGACCATATAGTGTCCTGTTCATGTTATTGAGATTGTACACCAAAATTGACAGGATCTCTAACAGCAAAAATATGCATTAATGCTGCAGTGTGAAAACCCCAATTCCAATATGAACACCAACACAGCCAAGATTTGTCCTGTAGTAAAAACAACGAAAGCACTCAGTAATTCTTCAAGTCGCAAGGAACGTGGTCCTCGCTCCACTTCCGTTTCTAGAGCAGATTGATCGTTGGTGGCGTTACCTGGATTCGCTTTCCTCAACATTATCTGTCTTCTTTTCCGCTGAGCCAATACGTCTTTATACAACTTATTAATTATTCCCATTTCGTTTAGTTGAATAAATCTATAAGGATAAAATGACCACTGTTAAGTTATTGTTAAGTTAAGATTTAATACGACGCTCTCATAAATTATTAACATTAATGATTTATACAATAATGTCTTTAACATATCTTCTTCTACAACAATAAATACAATATAGGTGATTAATATTTTATATTTTCACTTAATACATTTTAGTATTTTAAGAACGCCATTAACCTTGTCATCCCCTTTGAATCCACTTGACCGAAGAGTGGATTTACAACGCTAAAATCCGGGTTTCGATACCCATGGTGGACAGAGCACAGATAGCCCATTGTGTACTTTTGGGCTTAATTCCAAACAAACAAACTCAAGTTTGAGAGATGTTTGTAAATATGCTAGTATTATTATAAAATTATAAAAACTCGATAACCCGAGCGCTTTCGAAAGGTGGACCTTTTTGAATTATTAATCATTGTTAGAGTATGCTTTTGAGAGATGTGGTTAATTAGAAATATGTACATAGCATATTTTAACTATATACTTTAGAGAAAAACTATTTTGTAATTAGAGAATATTTTTATCAGCATGCAACACATAATTTAAACTGGTATGTTTGTAAAATACTTAAACTATCAGTATTTTATAAGCTATAAAACTGCTTTTGAAAACTTACACTAATTCATATATTACGGTTGCAAACATTTAAATATCAATTGAAAATATTCGTTATTACATACGTTTTACCAAAAGCTTCCTTCATTGGAGAGCCATTAGGAACAGCAAAACTGTAGTAATGGTTGTAAAACTGTTCTTCGCCAAAGTGATAATTTCTAATTCCAAAACTAGCAAGACTACCTTCCATAGAAGCTCGAGGACACACAAAAGCGAATGATTTCTGCATGGCTCGGATAACTCCTGCGTCCACAGTTCTGACTAGTGTCCCTGTTTCATCTCCTCTGATCCGTTTGCCAATTGTGTACATGTATCCTTCTGTGGCACTCTGAAATATTGGTATCACTCTAAAATACAGATTTGCCAACAAACCTTACAATTACATAATATTTATCAGACGGTACTATGAAATGATGGTTAGGGCTTCTTATGGGGTGCAAAATATCCTCAGAATATGAATATCACTTGTGAATTACACATTAATAAAAAGTTTATCTAGTGACTTTTACAATGGAAATGAAAAAGTTAACAAAAAACAACAATAACCCTAAAAGTCTATTCAGTACGAAACATCTTTGCATGTGAAGCAAAGAACTTCTATCTTTATCACTGTAGTACTAAAACATTTTTGTAGTTATTTTCATTTTGAATAAAACCAAAATATTAACAAATAAGCGTAACTTGAAACTCTGAAGATGTGTAATATAATATACATTCAGGAGATTGAAACGAAAATTATAACTCGTTTATGGTCTATTAGGTATCACTTTCAAATGAAAATTATAACTTATAGATGAACAGAAAAGAAATTAAGGTTATAGTTTTATTAGAGCGACAGAAATAAATATTTGGTAAATAAGATCCATTTCCAAACTGATTAAATCTTTTTTTTTTTAATTTCAAAAGAATGATTTCTGGTAATGAATACTGTAGAGCAGGGCAAACAAACATTTAGTTTCTAGATAGAAATTATAATAGATAATTCTTAATAGGCAAGATAACAAACACAGAAACAGACTGCTAATTATTATGAAGTAAAAACAAGGAGTAGTTTGAACAGAAGATATAAAGTGAAGTTTGTCTGATAACTATAAACAACAGAAGATCATGGAAATCTGCAAAAGAAAGACTTATTCATAAGTAATCTAACACTACCAATTTTCTGCCAACAACTTGAAAATGAAAACTCTTAAAGAACTGACAATTTCCATAATAATAGGATTCACATCAAATACAACTCTTCTTTCAACACGAAGATAATTACCACCAACAAGAAGAGTGGTCTCTATCATCAGAACTCAACTTTTACAGGAAACTTTCCGAAACTAACACTCCGAGACTCAAGATTTGGCTCAGGTTTGTTGAAGAAGTTCAACAGTTAACAGACAACCCGCGATACCATTTACAATAGAAATGTTTGTTTGTAATTAGGCGCAAAGCTACACAATGGGCTATCTGTGTTCTGCCCACCACGGGTATCGAAACCTGGATTCTAGCTTTGTAAGTCCGCAGACATACCGCTGTGCCACTGGGGGGCTACAAATAGAAATAGAAGATAACAAGCTTCCATTCTTACAAGTGATGGTTATCAAGACAAAACTCATTTACCACAGAAGTTTACATGAAACCCACTGATGGGGGTAAATACCTCAATTATAAATTGCCCACCATCCCAACAGTGTAAAGACAGGAGTCACCGACTGATTAGTTTCCAGAATGAACAAGATTTGTAATTCAAAATAGGGTAAGAAAAAGAAAAAAAAACGACACAGCCCCCCCCCCACTGACAGTGATTTCTAGGAACGCTTGATAAAGAAGAAAATAAAGACGATAAACATGAAAAATATGTACAGCCATATTACCAAGAAGAAAATAAAGACGATAAACACCATGAATCACCAATGGAGGGGAATTCCCACCCATGATTTACAGTATCCTCTGTGAATGCGAATTCCGATACATTGGGGTAGGGGAGGGTGCTGATAAAGCTAGAATTCAGAAGTGTAATAGACATATAACATTCGATAATACCAATTTATTTGCAATATTCTATCATAGCAGGGAAGAAAGCAATGGGAGGGGATAAAATAGAATAATACTAAAATAATGGTGCATGAACCGCATACGAGAGGAACAATAAGTTTTCTACATCCACCTAACTGATAATACATTCAGTCAACCGAGCATAGAAGTTGGCAAAACCTGAATACCCATCTTGAAGTAATTTTAAAAAAAAATTACGATATATTATTTAGGCAGAGTACAGACATTGAGTTGACTGTGAAATGGGTGGCAATTGTCTGTTAGATAAACACTTGTATACAATATACTTATGCAGCTGAAGTGTAGAGGACAACGTTTCGAAAGTCTTCCGCCTTTCGTCTTCGGGTCATTTGGTGTAATACAATACAATATTACGTGGTAGGTATTTAGATTGATAACTTGAGATGTTCAGAAATAACGAGTTTCTCTTCACCCTGCTCGTGGTAGTGCTAGATCACGCGGTATTAGTTTTTAGTTTAACATAGGTATTTGAGGACAGATCAGCTTGTTACTAAGTTATTGGTCAGATGTTAATGAAGCCGGGAAGAAAAGAGGAAGCGAACCTAATCGGATGGGATGTAGAAACTTTTAGCTAGGAATTATTATCATTGGAAACGTGAAAACAATTCGGGACAAGGATAAAATAACACAAAGACAGCACAAAACTAAAGAAAACACAGAATTCACTCATTGCAGGACATACCATGTCGAAAGGACATAAAACAGACGGGAACAAAGCTAGAATCATCGACTCATAGAAATTTCGGAAAGCAAAAAAGATAAAAGGAATCTTTCTACACCAGTATAATAAAATCCTCATTAAACAGAGACTTGGACCTAGAAATCAGCAACGTATGGTTACCATTGGTTTAATCCACACACAGTCGCTCCGCCAATCAGAACCAAGAACAAACAACGAATCAAAGCACGTCCATCTCAATCCATTTGAATATCATGAAAGTTGTCACAAATTCCAAGACAACAGCAGGTTCCATCCCCACCCACGGCTGCTACCTTGATTATCATCACTTTAAGGCAGAAAAACCTTACCGTAAGCCTCACCCACCCCCAAGCCCACGTTTCTCAACGCTCAAAAGAAAATCACCGCCAACCAGTACTCTACCGCCCATACTATTACAATAGACCATGCTACTAAAACTTCACCCACTCTTGAATCACAAGACATGTCAACCCAAACCACCATTACTAGGAGAAAAAAAAGGCACCCAGACCCAGCCGCAAGTCTTCCCAGTTACCAACGACGCCTATCAAAAAAACCAACAACCCGCCTATCAGCCCCAAGCCACTTTCTACATCATCGTCGTCAATCTCGCCGAACGCCTTAGTAACTGACACTTCCCCCGATCTCTACCTACTTGACGAACCTTTCTGTGCCTTCCGCCAACTCACCAATGACACCGAGGACTCCACGCCTTTACCACCTTCCTGGAACCGGAACCTGTTCCACAAGAAAACCATGGCGAACATCAGGAGCCTCCACAATTCATTCAAAAGCTAATCAATCCCAGCACCGGACTTCACTTTGTCTTCCCTACTTACTTCTTCTCGCTAACCGGGCACTGGTAACGGATTGGTTGTTACCAGTGAAAGTGGGTTTTCTCGAGATACCCCCGTTTCTCCCACATTAAATTCTTGGCATACAATTTTTAGATTCCCGCCGCCCTGATGAACCATCTGTCCGATATCGGCCGGTTAGTTTAGTCTAGTTCAGTTCAGTTTAGTTTAGTTTACTTTACTTTGCTCTTCACTTTTTATCGTTTACCGTTACTCTCACGTTTACCTTTTTATATTTACATACCTTGTCTGCATTAATTTCCTGTTTTCTCAAGTTAAGCCCAAATTCCTAGGCCACGCGCGGGGTGAAGGGGGAATGTTTAATCTTCGAGAACTTTAGATTAGTAATTATTTCCGAAGAAGTAATTATTTTTAAATCTAAATAACTGGCAGAAACGAACGAACTCACAAACTGACCCGTTCGTTGATCATCAACGAACCACCAGCTAACTTCAGGTTCAAGGATATAGGTCACTTTGTTAAGAAGCACAAACCTTCGGCTGAAGTCCGTAGGGAAAGAACACATTGCCAACATCGTGGTGGAATTTTCATTCAGCCACGGACGCGCGAGGATTGGGATTACCTACTCTCCCCCCCCCTTCTGTTCCCTTCATCGAATGTCACTTACCTGCCAGTAATGATTTTTCGAGATGCATTTTTCTGAGGAACATGGACTTGTCCATTAATACTCAAGAAATCCGAGAAACTCCTGATGTTTAATACCCATCGACCATTCATGATATCCAGAATAACGGGAAGAACTACCCCTTTTGTAAAAGTTGTAGCCTCTTTTCCTTAAATCACGAACTTATTATTAACTTCGAGTTTTTTGGTGTTTTTTTTTTCATTTTACTGCAGAAAACCTACGATCAAAACAAAATACCAGGACAATCCGGACTTCCAAAGATGGACCGATTCCTCATCAGCCTCTAATCTAGCCAATACCTGAACCTGTAGTTCAGAGTAGAAGCAGGAAAACTTCCGCCAACTATTGTAACTCTCCAACAGACAAACCTGCCCAGCATAACCTATGACCAATACCTGAACTTGTAGTGCAGAATAGAAGCAGGAAAACTTCTGCCAACTATTGTAACTCTCCTACAGACGAACCTGCCCAGCATAACCTATGACCAATACCTGAACTTGTAGTCCAGAATAGAAGCAGGAAAACTTCTGCCAACTGTTGTAACTCTCCTACAGACGAACCTGCCCAGCATAACCTATGACCAATACCTGAACTTGTAGTTCAGAGTAGAAGCAGGAAAACTTCTGCCAACTATTGTAACTCTCCAACAGACGAACCTGTCCAGCATAACCTATGACCAATACCTGAACTTGTAGTCCAGAGTAGAAGCAGGAAAACTTCTGCCAACTATTGTAACTCTCCAACAGACGAACCTGCCCAGCATAACCTATGACCAATACCTGAACCTGTCGTCCAGACTAAAAGCAGAAAAACTTCTGCCAACTATTGTAACTCTCCAACAGACAAACAGACACGCCCACAACTAATTTCTCGGCCATTAGCTTTATAAGTCGTAGCCCCCCCCCTCCCTGAAAAGGGCTATACTTCAGCTACTTTATGTACAGAATAACTTTTCAAGTACTTTAAGTCCATAAAACTTTTTCCCCCTCCTTATTACTTGTTTTTCTTCCTTTGGAGCTGGTGTGTTGATCACAGGTCACTAATCTTTCATTTACTTACGTCATACCAAATCTTCACGGTTTTCTTCTCCTGAAACGGCATAATAAATCACATCACCATTACACCAAAGTTCACGGATACGTAAATTTAGTCTTGTCTTCTACAGTCAACCATTTTGGATAACATAAAACTCTCGTTTTCTTTTACATTCAACCCAGTTGGTTATTGTAAGATCCATCACGAGCAGGATGTAGAGAAACAGAATCTTTCTGAACAACACGGTTGTCTTTTCCAAATTGAAAAGGGTTTCAAAACCGAAATACCAGCCTAGAATAGACAGATACAAACTGATCTAAAGACTGCATAAGTAGATTGTATAGTCACCAATATATGTCTACTTGTGTTTTTTTCTAATAGGCAGTTGCCGCCCATTTCGAAGTCAGCTCAATTAACAATTAGAACATCAAAAAGAACATTTTGCCATAAGTCTCTTTGCGATACGCTGGAGTGAATTTCCATTAAAAATATATTTCAAGAAAAAGATAGTTATGACATATTATAACATTTAACAAAGCTTAAGGATATTTACTACATGAAAAAATTAGACGAAAAGCTACACATCATTAGAACACATATTAATGTTTTAAGAGTTCTTCTTAATATTATGAAAAAAATACATGTAATGAATCTCATATCATATTTACTGCATTACTTTTCATAATGACGTTATTTATGAAACTAGCAATTCGCTCTGAAAGTAATTTTTTAAAGATGTTTAATCAGTATTTTTTTGTTTGGAGAAAAATGATCTATCTTGATCTACAAACAACTACAGGTAAATAGCGTGTAAACTTGTAAGTAGTTGTGCAGACTTAATATTATTTTTTTGCAGAAAAATGAGTAATGTGAAAACATAAAGCCTTTTTTTTTTTTCAATAAAAGACTGAGCAGGTTCTTACCATGAAGTTTGCATATGATACAGTTCCGTAAATGGTCCCAACCTTTATCTCGTTTTTTTCCATTCGCATGACTAGCTCCGAGATGGTATCTATTGGTTTCTCCTTTTCAGGAACGTTCATGTATGATGTCAAACTTCCACTGAATCCGGCCATGACGATAACAACGAGTATCCAATAAAATGCAACTATTATTCGTAATGAATTTGTAACAGGAAGTTTCTGACCGCCATCTGTTGGGAAAATATAAATTCCACAACCAGGTTCCTTTGTCACAGTTTGATGAAGAAATTAGAAACTTCAGTTTTTACATGTCTTGTAAGATTTTATTCACACTGATTAAGGTCCTTTAATTAAATATAAAATATATTTTCTTTGAAAAGTAAAGAGTCATAATATAATATATTGATTAGCAATATAATATATGACTAAGATGTTTTAGATGTTTCAAAACTGTTACTCTGGTATCAAACAGGCTGGATGGTCTATGTAATACAATCCTAATTAAACTAGTTAGATTTGTCAGTAACGATGCATTCTCGTAGAGCACGTTCAAGTATGTTGTAAGACTAGAGGGAAGGCAGCTAGTCATCATCACCCACCGCCAACTCTTGGGCTACTCTTTTACCAGCGAATAGTGGAATTGACCGCCACATTATAACGTCTTCACGGCTGAAAGGGCGAACATGTTTGGTGGACGGGGAATCGAATCCGCGACCCTCAGATTGCGAGTTCTGGATAATGTCTGGGATGAAAAAGTTGTCATACGAAGATGGGTTAAGATCTCTGAAATTGTTTCCTCTTGAGAAAAAGGAGAGTTTACCATTTAAAAACTAGAGAAACTTGTTAACTGACTCAACATTGTTAAGTACCACAAAAATGTTATCAACATATCTCCTGTAATACACAGGCTTAAAACGTTCAGGACTTTAACCAAACTTTTTCGTGGAAGCACAAGAAAATGTTAGAAATGTAAAGAAGATGGCTGAAACCCATAGCCAGCCACTCCATCAGTCTGCTTATTCATTTTAACATTAAACATAAAACGTGTTTTTTCATCTCTAAACGTAAAAGTCTTTTAAGAACACCTTTATTTATACCCTAAACAATTTCATTCTAGCAAACAAAAGGTTAAAACTAATATCAAATGTTTTCTCTAGTGGTATATTTGTAAACAATGACTTAATATCATAATTAACACAATCAACACCATCATTAAGCTGTCTCTGTTTTAAGTTATTGGTAAATTCAAAGTATCCTTAATCCTTATTTATTCTTTACACACATTCGTGTGTCAAAACTTGTTACTCCAGTTTCAAGATTTCTGTACGCTGTGTTAATATCCCCAGGGCACCCCAGTGACTTTAATTTTAAAGTTGTGAACCCGTGTTTCCAAGTTTGACATTTAGACAATTGCTTTAACAAAATTTCAAAACCTATAAAATAATAATTTTCAGCAATTTTGTAAAGGAAAAAGAAAAAAATTAACCTTATGACTAAGACAGTTTTCATCTGATAAATTATGAATAACATCATTTGGGTGTTACAAAAACGTGTATCCAAGTCAATGTTTTTAAGGTCATTGAGTTTACGTAACTCTTTTATTTTCAAATCTCATTAAAGTTTTATTTTTATTGTTCATAATTTTAATTTTCAAATCTCATAAGTATAGTAGTATCTCTGTTTTTCAGTTGCTTTAGACCTTCTTCAATTTTTTTTTATAATTTTATTTAAACACCTTATATTTAATTTCCAAGTCCAAAAATTTATTTTGAAATTGTATTCTTTACAAAAACACCATTTGTTGCTAAAGGAATCTCGGGTTAAGTTGTTCATTCTTGCGAGTTAAAAGAAAATTTTCATGCAATAAAGTTTTGTGTAATTTGACATGAAAACTTTGTAAAGTGTTCCTGACATATCTGGGTATAATAATAATGAAAAGGCTTTTGCATGTAGGAAACTTTAAACCTCACAGAAATTTCCAAATAATTATCTTGTTTGTTTGTTGTTAAACACAAAATGGGCTATCTGTGCTGTGCCGACCACTGATATGGAAACCCGGCCTTTAGCTTTATAAGCCTACAGATTTACCGCTGAGCCACAAGGGGGCAAATGTTGTTGTTTTCTTAGAGCTCGAGGGCTATCTGCGCCAGCCGTTCCTAACTTAGCAGTGATAGGAGGATAGCTAGTCAACACCACCGACTAATGTGGCCCCACTGCTGAAATGGTGAGCATGTTCAGTGACGAGTTTCAATCCCAAGACCTGTATATCAAGAGTCGAGTACTCTAGCTACTAGCCCATGGCAGGCCATTAGAAAAAGATGATCCCAACTAATGTTCATTAACATAGCTAATGGCTTCATAACAGTTTGTACAAAAACTTGGACAATTGCTGTAAGAAAATTTTAAAACCATTAATATAATGCTCTTTAGTAACTTTCTTAGGGACAAAAAAAATGTTAACCCTATGACTAAGACCCTTTTTTCCTCATCAGATAAACAACAAATTTTACTGAGTTTTTATAAAACTTTGTGATAGCATAAAGGTAAATGTATTAAAGAAAGTATTATTATTATTATGGGATCCTATATATTGTTTTCGAAGCTTTAAAAATATTATTTATAACAAGATCAGGTCTTCTTTTTTAAGAAACGTGGTTTTTAGCATTCATTGCCTTTGAAATTAGACTAACATATATTTTTTGTTAAGAATAAATGAAAAATTACAGCCTGCTTTATCAATGGGAATGATAAATTTATTCTCTAATTTGAATACATTTTGTTAAATTATACTAACAGACTTGATTCGAGGAAGCAATGTTATTTTTCAGTGAGTTCTGCTCATAGGTCCTGCTTTATATTTTTTCTTATTTTAGTTCTTTTCATAGAATATTATAAAATTTTCAGTCATCGAATTGGATGTTGTCTTAATCAAAGACTAAAACTGCATGAACTTTATATAAATATCAGCAATTGAATAAACAAACCTTGCAAGGTTACAGCACCACAATAATACCAAAGAGCTCGAGGAAACGTCCATCTTTTGGCTAGAGGCTCGGGAGTCTTCTTTCTTAAGAAATTGGTAAGCAGTGAAGTTACAATGACCACCACAAAAAGGCCAACCCACACCTTAAAAATGTCAGGAAGAAGTAAGAAGTTGACTTTCCACTAAAAATGTCTGAAAAGAACTATTACAGAACAAGATCTATGACATAAAAATAGCTAAAGAAGCGTTTCGTTAGGGTATCGTTACTGAATGATCCTGCTTCTAGTTTTCAATGGAACTATTAGTATCTTCTCCTTTCTTAAGCCTATTGATATTATTATCACTGTTATCTTATGAACGTACGCTGTGTGAACACAATACCAACTATTGGTTGGTTAGTTCTCCTGCAGCATTATCACCACAATCGTATTGTAACTGATACAACAAATAACTAAGTAGAAAAATGTGATGGTGATAAATAAAGAAATTAGACTTTTAAAGAAAAATCACCTTTTAAAAAGTATCATAGTAATTTATTTACTTGGAGACATTTCGAGCAAACGCTCTTTTTCAAGCCAAAAACAAGCCTGCCGGTTAATGACAAGTACATGAGCGTTTAGAAATGAAACAATACACGAAAACAGAATGTAACGCGAGATAAAACTACGAAAATGTATATAAATATAACAGTACTGTCTGTTGTATGTCCATGTAACTGTTTCGCTACTGTAACGGGTACTCTAGCTAGTTAAGCAATATAGTAAAAACAATATAATAAAGCTGGTGATTAAAAAATAGTTATTTTAAATTATTAAAAATATAGAACAACTTTACATAAAGAAAAAGAAAGAAAGAACTTTATGTGATGGTTTACTGAAACTTTAAGATGAACGTTCAATAGAATCGTATTGTTACTGATATAGGTTCTGTCACGGTTTATAACAATGAGCTATGATAAACGTACATTTGAATCGTATTGTTACTGATAAAGGTTCTTATAACGTTTAACCAAAACGTTACTTAAGATGGACGTAAAATTGATTCGTATTATAACTGACAAGCTGGGTCACTCGTTCTACGTCCGGGGTCATAAGGATTGAATGTAGGGCTTGAAGTAATAAATTAATCAAAAATTTGTATTTATATACATAATTTATTTCACACATGATTTACTTTACACATAATTTATTTCACACATGATTTACTTTACACCTAATTTATTCACAACAATTCTGTTGACTTTATTATAACTATTAAACCTATCACAAGAGCATTCATCATGAAAAGCTGCTCTTTTCACTCTGTTGGCTGCCATTATAACTATTGATTGTACAACAAAACCCTTCACCATAATACTGTTCTATTTACTGTGTTCGCTGTCTTTACAACTATTGTTTTAAATGCAAGGACCTTCATCATAATAAGTATTTCTATTCATTCTGGGAATCTTTTTTTTTTCATTCACCCTGTTTGCTGTAATTGTAACTATTGGTCCAACCACAATACTCTTCATCCTAATAATTTGTTCTATTAATTATAAGTATCTTTCTCCATTCGCTCTGCTGGCTCTAAATTCAACTATTGAACCTGTCTCAAGGACCTCCATCTTCACAAGCTGTTCTGTTCATTACGGTAATCTTTCCCTATTAACACTAAAGGCTCTCATTATAACTACTGACAGTACCACAAGGTCTATCATCATTATAAGATATTCTGGGAATCATCTTCTCACACAGTCTGTTGGCTTTATTATAACTGTTGATGCCACCACAAGGACTACATCATAATAAACTTTTCTACTTATTATAGATATCTTTCCTCGTTCACTCAGTTGTCTGCCATTATAATTATTGGTCCTTAAATAAGGACCTTCATCACAATAACTATTGTTGTACATTATGAGAATATTTTCCCATTAACTGTTTTGACTGTAAGTATAGCTATAAACTGTTTTGCCTGTAATTACAACAATTAACTATATTAACTATGTTGACTGTCATTATAACTATTAACTGTGTTGACTGTCATTACAACTATTAACTGTGTTGACTGTCATTATAACTATTGATCGTTTTGACTGTCATTATAAATATTAACTGTGTTGACTGTCATTATAACTATTAACTATGTTGGCTGTCGTTATAACTATTAACTATGTTGACTGTCATTATAACTATTAACTGTGTTGACTGTCATTATAACTATTGACCGTTTTGACTGTCATTACAAATATTAACTGTGTTGGCTGTCATTATAACTATTAACTATGTTGGCTGTCGTTATAACTATTGACCGTTTTGACTGTCATTACGAATATTAACTGTGTTGGCTGTCATTATAACTATTAACTATGTTGGCTGTCGTTATAACTATTAACTGAGTTGACTGTCATTATAACTATCAACTGTGTTGGCTGTCATTATAACTATTATTCCAACCACCTTATCCTTTATTATTTATTTTATGAATCTTTTCACATTCAGTCTGTTGACTATCATTATAACTATAGATCTTATCAAAAGAGCCTTCATCACAATAAGATAGTTTGTTCATTATAGAAATCTTTAGATATTCACTCTATTGGATGTCATTAAAACTACTGGTGATAAAAAAAGGCTCTTTATAATAACGATTTGTTCTGCTCATTATGAGAATCGTTTCCCACTTGTTCTGTTGACTGTCACTATAACTACTAATTCGACTGTAAATGCTGTTCATTATGGGAATATTTCACCATTCACAACAACTCCCAATGCTATCTCAAAGTTATTCCCCATAATTATCTATTTTATTCAATATAGAAATTTTTCCTCATTCGCTCTGCTTGCTATCAATATAACTATTGTTCATATCAGAAGGACCTTCATAATTATCACATGTTTCGTTCATTATGGGAATATGTCCCTATTCGCTCTGTTGGCTGTCATTAACACTATTGAACCTACCGCATGGCTCTTCAGCTTTACAGTTTGGTCTGTTCATGATGTTAATCTTTCCCTCTTCAGTCTGTTGACGTATAAGCTGCTTTGCTGAATATCGGAATATTTCACTCTTTGGTCTGTTGGCTGTTATAATAAGCTTTCACTGTTTGTTCTGTTGCCTATGGTTATGAATATTTATCTCATCACAAGATCGTTCCTCATAGTGGGCTGTTCTGTTTATTGAGGGAAAATGTCAGTATTCAGTCTCTTGAATATTGTTATAACTATTTATCCAACTTCAAGAACCTTCGTCATAATAAGTACTGCTGTTCATCATGAGTATCTTTCTCAATTAACTCTGTTGGTTGTCAGAATAGCTATTAATCCTATCACAAGTGGCTTGATATTAATATTCTGTTCTGATTATTATTGGAATCTTTCTCTATTTGTTCTATTGCCTGTCGTTATTACTTTCAATCCCACAACAAGGCCCTACTCTTTTGTTCGTAAAGAGAATTTTGCACCAAATCGTCTGTTGGCTGCTTTTATCACAAGGACTTTCATCATAATAAATGGAGCCATTCATTATAGGAATATTTCTGCATTCACAGTGTAGACAGTCATTTGACACTACCACAAGGCCATTCATCAAGCTGTTCTATTAATTATTATTGTATTCTTTTCACAATCAGTCCGTGGGCTTTTTTATAACTACTACTCCTAAAACAAGTACCTCCATAATGCTAAGTTGTTTTGTTCATTATGGGATTATCTCCACATTCAATCTCTGGACTTCATTATAACTTTTGATCCTACTACAAGGCACTTAATCATAATAAGCTGTTTCCTACTTTACTCATTAATTCTGTTGGCAGTAATTATAGATATTAATTCTACTACTCGAACCTTCTGAATAACACATTTTATTGTTCAATATGGCATTATTTATCTGTTCATTCTATTGGCTGTTATCGTAACTACTGATTCCGCCAAAAGACCTCTCATTATAACAAGTGTTATGATCATTATTGGAATCTTTCTTCATTCACTTTCTTTGCTGTCATTGTGGTTATTGACATTACTAAAAGGACCAAATCATGGTAAGCTGTTCATTATGGGAACTGTTCACCAATTACTCTCTGGACTGGTATTATAACTATGAAACCCTTAATCATACCAATCTGCTCTGTTAATTGTTGGAATGTTTCCTAATTATTCTATCGACTATGATTATAATTATGAAACTTACCATAAAGCCCCTAATCATACTAAGCTATTCTATTAATTGCTGGAATCTTCTCCATTTACTTTGTTTGCTAACATAATAATTATTTATATCAACAAAAGGCCCTTCATAATAATAATCAGTTCTATTCAATGTGACAATACTTCCCCATTCGCTCTGTTGGTTGTAGTTATAACTATTGAGCGTAACTGCGGGCCATTCATCACAAAAGGTTGCACTGTACATTATTTGAATCTTTTCACAGTCCCTCTGTTGGCTGTCATTCTAACTACTGATCCTACCACAATTATCTTCCTCATAAAAAGCTCTGTTACTATTCATTAAATTAATATTTGCACATTCACTCTTTTCAATTTTTATGGATTCTACTACAAGACCTTTCTTCATAGTAATTGTTTTAACTATGGAAATATTTCCGCAATTAGTCTGTTTGTTTGTAATTAAGCACAAAGCTACACAATGGGCTGTCTGTGCTCTGCCCACCATAAAAAAGTTGTCCTGTTCATCATGCAAATGTTTTCACATTCCCTATTATTTGGCTTTCATTATGACTATTTGGCTTTACCACAAAGCTCTACATGATACTAAGCTGTTATGTTGATTATGTGAGCATTTCCACTTTGACTCTTTTGGCTGTCATTTTAACTATCGATCCTACCATAAGACCTTCTTCATTATAAGTAGTGCTGTTCATTAAGGAAATACTTCCACATTTGGTGGTTAAAATCATAGCTTAGATTGAATTAGTCTCCATGTCACTCTCTTCCGAAAGACACAAACCATAGAAACAACACAAGTATTATATATCTATGGGTTTTGAGTCCATTTTATTTCACCATATCTTTAACTGATCTATACAAATATGATATGTTATTCTTAGCTGGCCACAAATAATTGAAAACTATATATATATATATATATATTGATTTCACAAATCCAATTTCATAATCGTGCATATAAAATAAAACCTCAACTGAAAATATCTGATGGAAAAATAATTAGTTTATATATATATATATATCGTTTTTAGTAAATTTAAAATGCATTCAACAAGCATGAAATTTGGATCATGATTTTGGTATTTTTATCATATTTAATATGCCTTCATAAAAGCATGAAACCTAAGGTATGACTTTTGAAATTTCTGGCATAGACAGTGCTTCAAAAAATATGAAACTGAAGGAGATACTTTTATTCCACTACGTGATTTTAAAGTACAGTTTTAAGAAAAGATAAAATGTTGATTTCGCTTATAAATCACTTTAAATCTTAAGATAATATCTCATATTTCTTTTTTCTCTAGAGAATATACGTAAATGTACTAAAATAAACGAGTACTACCTCATAGGTGAACGGTTTTATAATGGCTAGAGCTCTGGATTTTTCTCGTGTGCCATGCATTAAAAAACTAAGTTTTCCAATCTCGTAAGGAAAAGGATAAGCTATAGCTTCCTCACGTTCGTAAGTCATCCCTATTCCTGTGAGGGCAAAGTCTGCTTCCTAAAGAGATGAATATAGCAATTTATATATACGTCATCATTTATATTAGCTAGATAATAAACCAGTTGAAACGTTTCATAAAACTTGTATAAGAATGAAAAATTGTGTAAATAACACATAATGAAAAAACAAAAATAATAAATAAGCCTTACTAACTTGCTTTAGAATCATCCTAATCAAGCCAGTCCACTCCCCATTAGACAGTTTCACACCCCACGTGTTATCAAGCGGCGCCACAATCTGAAAACTGAATGGATTCAAATACCCAGACTGTCATCAGAATAGAATCATATAAGAAAAATTTGATCATCTATTACTAATTAAAAACTTGAACCTAAACAACGATGTTTTTTTTATTTATTATTATTTTGCTAATAGTTCATCTGTTTTTTAAAATATTTTCTTTTTATTAAAAGAACGTTTTTGGTTACTTTAACGAAGAGACGTTTTTGGAAAATTTCTGAGCTATCAATTCAATAGGTTGAGTTGGCAGATTGAATGTAATATAATTCAACATGACCGACATGTATTCTATACATCGATGGCTTGAGTGATATTACACCATAATAAAAATGGTAATAACTTTTAATAAGTCTTTTTATGCTGGCCTTATAATATAATGTAAAATCACACAAAACACCGATATGTAGATCAAGCTTTAACCAACATAAAGCCTTGTGAAATGTACTAATTGAAAAACGTTTTACATAATATTTAAGATGCGTATGTGTATGCTTTCTTGGGCTGGTTTAAGTATTTGGTAACGTCTGTAATGATAATGCAAATATCAGTAAAGATACAGTACAGGTGCAACATCAAACAGTGGTAAGTCTTCGGATTTACAACGCTAGAATCAGGGTTTCAATTCCCATCGGTGGACACAGAAGATAGCCCGATGTGGCTTTGCTATAAGAAAACATACATACATTCAAAGTAGACTGGACAGTTGAGATAACCACAGAAGGAACTACTACGAACGTTACCTTAAGAGAATCTTAAACAAAACCCAAGTTTCCATATTACTTTGTATCTTAGACAACTCTAACATTTAGAAGGAGTTTTGTTTTACAGACTTATTTTCGCTGTACTTAAATACGAGGAGTCATCTAACGTTAAATACGAGGAGTCATCTAACGCGTGAAACAACCAACAACATAGTCTTCTGGAAGCACTTGACTTCCACTTCTATTAGTTTCTAACACAGAGACGCTATTTCATAAACACAAATAAAATTTTAAAAACCGAAACCACTAACTCATTAGTTGACCATTAATAGTAAAAATACCAGTATGTGTTCATACTTTCACGGGAATTCCTAATTTTCAGGTTAACTCTTATCCAGTAAGGTACCCATTGTACATCCTAGTTTTCAGGTTAATTGTTATCCAGTAAGGTACCCATTGTAATTCATAGTTTCAGGTTAATTGTTAACCAGTAAGGTACCCATTGTAAATACTAGTTTTCAGGTTAAATGTTATCCAGTAAGGTACCCATTGTGCTCAGTGCTAACACAGAAATTCCTTATTTTCAGGTAAACAGTTGTCTAGCAAGAAACCCAATCTTTTTCAGATGCTATTATGTGTATTCCTAGTTTTCAGGTTAACAGTTGCTTAATTGAATGATTTCAGCTTTGTGAGATCTTCTTGCGGATATTTTGATAAATTTATGTGCAATAGCAGGATGTGTTGAATAAAGTTCAAACAGTTCTTTAAACTAATTTCCACTAATAAAGCAATATTCACAGGCAATCACGTGTTAATAAGTTTAGTGTTGCACCTGTTGAGATTACAATTGTAAATTAACTTATTAAATGGCTGTGTTTTACAGACATTTCTGAAGCTTTAACCATACTTTAATTTAATATACATGTTTTTACACTATATATTCCTACATTACAGGTGATCGTTACAACAGTTTTGAGTAGCTGATATAACTAGTGTATCCGGTTGATCAAGATTTATATTGTCACAAGTTTGTACTTACATTGTTACTCATTTTGTGATCAAAATCAAAAGCTAAGAAAAATAAAAACTCGGATTCATGCTTAAGCTCTAGCCTTGAATGTTTTCAATTGGAAACAACAATCCTCATTCTACTATGGTTCACACATTAATCGCATATTTGAGAAGCCGATCAGAGATTAATGTAAAAAGGAACAGACTGAGGGTAACGCAATTTAATATTGCACCAGAAACTACTTCACACCATTATTGAAATCTGGTTAAAATGCATAAATGACCCTTTTTCCCTGGTAAATGATTAAGCAGGATTTTTTTAAGGCACATTGACTATAAAAAGTTTATGAAATCAGATGCAAATTTTTTAAAAACTTTTATATTACAGAACGTTTTAACTCAATTAAAAGAACACTTAAAGTTCCTTCTAGTACGTTTAAACACGTTCAAGCTCAAATGTTTTTGTTTCTCTACATCAGAATTGTGAAAAAATTACAGAAGTTTTGATTAAGAAACCCAATTTATTGTGATTATTTTTTACCGTGCTGAACAAGGCTGGAACTTTAGTCCTTTAGACCTCATGGCATCCTCATCATATTTCTAAGTGTCCTTCATATTTTTATTAAAAGTCGTTTATTCAAAAACATATTTTAAATAGAATTTTTCCAGAAACTTTCAAGACTGTGCAACATTAGTAAAATTACTAAGTCATTTAATTTTTGACGTTATGATGTATTTGCAAGGGATCAGATTAGCCTATAAACAGTAAAATCTGGGAAAATATATAACTTACAAGCTATATAATTGTAACAAATATGATGTTATTGTAGGCAGTGAGAGTGGCTCTCAGTCACGTGTTAACATGTATACCGGTGTGTACCTGGGTGTAGGATATTCGCCAATGCTGCAAAGGTTGATGACATCTCATGAGCTACTGTCAAAAGCCTGAGATCAGAGACTGCCAGAAATTTATGCGTTCAAAGCACCCACTCAGATCTTTCTCTTAAGGTTTGACCTCAGTACACAGGAAGCAAAAGTGATTGAGAACCATCCTAGCTGTGTTCGGCCTATTGCGTCTAAGACGGAATGGGGCAACCCTTATAGTATTCCAAAGCATTCACCAGCCACAGTAGTTTAACTTCGACTCTGGTCAGTACCATTCCCAACTAGAAGAGAGGGTATGGAGGTACCATTAGTGGGCGGTTTACACCAACTGGAGCTGTTTCACAAGTAGACAAACAGCCAGCACAAACTGGAGAATATGGTGACCCATGGGGCAAGAGGTATGCTATCAGGGCAGTCATGGATGATGAAGAAGCCTGGAGTCAATCAGAGCTAATGGATGTGCTACCTTCAGTATTTTATCCTTCTGTGACTTTTGGACAGATCCCTAAGATCTATCCAAGTGTAAGGGTTCCTGTACAAGCCCACTCTCAACATTCAGGATGTCTCAGCCCAGAGTTAGTTGAAAGGCCATTCGTGAGAAATTAACCCTGAAGCCACAGGTAACCGTGATAGAAGATAAACAAATGCACTTCAAATAAATTAGAGAAGATCTGGATCACTTCTCGAAGCATTTCAGATGAGCGACTACCCGGAATGGTTGGACTTGGGAAAAGTCAATACAAAACATTTCCTTAAATTTTGGCAGTTCCGTCCTGGATACAATTGAGCACTTGGACGAAGCACAACTGGGACACAGTTGTTTCAGAGATGTACTAATGACATGAATGGATGGAAAATCAAACAGTCCATCAGACCTATTTCAAGGTTTGATGAAGAAGTCATTTTGAGAACTTGGAAGCCTATGCCAATGATCTGTGTTGGTTGCATAGAAAAGCATACCCTGCAATGGCATTTGCAAGTCATGCAATAACAAATAGACTGCCTATTGAGATGATTAATATTAAAACTCCGCTGCCAAGAAGCATAAGGAGGGGCACCATGTATAATCTGATCTGATCCAGATTAAAAAGGCTCTTCAGGGAGTCCAAGACTTCCAATGCCAGACATAAATCAATGTTGAATATATATATAGTTTTACGATTTATTATTATTATTATTACTGTTTGTGTATTAATACTATGTGTATTAATTTATTATATAGTATCATGTTAATTGAGGGTATTCTATGTTTTATTAAATGCAAATGTCTTACTTTGCAAAGGATTGTACAAATTTTTCTATTTTGGAATTTAAAATGAATTTATAAACGGGTTTTGCTTCTTCTTTGCATTTACTGTAAGAAGGTATTATAACTTTATGTGCATTTTGATATTAAAACGGGCTTATGATGCTGTTGTGAAAAGGGTTATTTTTATAGTTAATGTTAAAAGCTTATTTTGTGTACCGATTTTAATTGGTCATATTGTATGATGTTTAATTTGATGTGCTTTTATGTAAACGATTTTACTTAAACCTGCTATCACTATTAACGAGTTTGTTTCTTGTAATCGAAATTTGTAACAATGTTAAAGAATTTTCTTTGTGTGCTTAAAATTTGTTGTCATTGTTAAAGGGTATTTCTCTGTTTTAATTCAGTACTGATCTTGCAACTTGTTTTAAAGTTGAGTGTATTATATTCAGTTTGCTTTAAATATTATGCTTTAATTCGATCGTTTGTTTAATCTGTTTGCATTGTTGAAAAAGTATTTTACAGAGGTAAGGGTAAGATAATTGACAGATATGTGGTTTAATTTTTGATTGGTGAGTGGATGAGTGAGTGTTGGAGTTTTACAGCACAAAGTAACAAGGCTATCTGGGCCAAACAGTTTGATATATTTCATTAAAAAAACAGTCAAAGAAAGGAAGGTAAAGTATGAAAGCAATTATAAAATATGATATCAAAAACGTTCTTGTTTATTTCTTAAACAAGGTTAAAAATATAATTAGATTTAAAAAGACCTAAAATCCACAACACGCTAAAAACACGATCAATCTGGACAGTGTCACCATCGCCAATGACACAGTCCAACATCAAAGTCAAACCTCGAGGTAAAATATGTCTAAAATGACGCCACTGCTGGCGTAAAAATAAAACATGGGGAATTATATCTTAAGTGGCACAAAGCCTAAACATTGAAGGAACAGTCCCATGTAAAATAAATGATATGAAAGAAACTGTAGCCAATGTATAGCTTTGCCAGGACGAACTTCATTTCTCTTGTTTCTACATAAACTAGATGACAAGACAGCAAGAATAGGCTTTATCTACAAAGTTTATTTTTGCTAATCTCAAATCGACTTTCAACTGTTGTGAAGTCTTGCCTTGAAATCCAAATAAAGAACAGGCAAGGCTGTTATATTACCAGTGCAGACTGATTTTGCTGCAGTGTCAGTGAGTTCATTCCCATAAATATAAGCAGGCCTGGGAATAACAAAATGAACAGATATGGATGATAACAAAAAGGAAACTTTGTGAGATATGATTAAGCAATTATAAGGCCTTGAAGGAGCTAAGTCTGTCTTTATAAATCGTACATGATCCAGAGCAAGTTAAATGGCATTCAACTCAGCATTAAACACAGAATCTGCAGATTCTGTGAACAATCACAGAGTCACAGCAAACCGTAACAGAGCCTACAGTGTCACTGAATGTCGAACCGTCCATAAAAAATGTGAATATAAGAATGGTTCAAAAGGTGTTCATATTAGAAAAGTCGGTAATTCCAGTTGGGAGTATGCGACTTCTTTAGATGACTCAAATAAGATATCACGTGAGGACAGTAGCAATCCATGGTGGGATTAGATGACCATCAGATTCTATATTACTATCCAATATCAGACCCATTTAAGTGAATTATACCTGGAGTTGAAAGCTAAAGGTAAGAGCAATAGGTCATCTATTTGCAAAAAGGACAGTGAACATGATTCCAATAAATGAGGACGTGTCCATATCATGGACCTGGTTATTCACTGTTGTCAGAGGTGACAACGAATATTGAAGTATACGTGGGTTTGTCTACGTGCCGATCTATGGAAGACAGAATACTCTTAACACAGGTAGAGATCACCTTGTGAGCGGCAAAGAAAAATCAGACTGCACCCCTTCTGTGAACAGAGTGCAGCAACATATGTCAATTTTGGAAGAGATGTCACCATCTTCCTAGCCTCTGGATAAGAAATGTGATTCGAGGTTTTAGCTCACTGTGCTTATTTATCTTCTGTAGATTTAAGACATAATCTAGAATATGAACAATTGACAAAGTGAGGCTCTAACTGGCACCCATTGTTATCATTGTCTCTGCCCACACAATAAACACAAGTTAGAGAACTACAGCAAACAGTCTTGGAGTGTTCAAACTGGTTACAATTAAGGCACAAAAGATGATTAAAAATGTAAAGCAGACGGACTTGGTGTTGTAAACGCCACAACCGTGTTTTCGAATGAAGATATTCCTCAGTGCTAATTGTAGACACCAGAGAGAAGCTCTGACTCGAGGATGTTAACGAGATTTCCTTCAACAATAACTACTCTAGAGGAATTAAAAGTAGTAGCCTATAAAGAGTAACCTCAATGGGCGTATCCCCAATACACTTTGATTTAAATAGGAGTTTGCTATAATTTTGTCGTGGTATTATGAAGAATACGTCCTCTGACATAAATTTATTAACCAATTTTGGAGAGCCAGTCTGACAGAGAATGCAATATTGGGAAATGAGGTATATGAATTATTGGAAGAGGAGGCTGTGTGATTTGAGAGTCTTCCATCCTTGGTCGTTTACCAATGACTATTTTGTTTTTGATTTAGATTGTAGAAGGTTCATAAGAAAGGAAAAATATTCAGTACCCACTAACATCGCCCCTACGCAGTTAAACAAGAGAACACACCACACTATCAAACCAGAGCAATGTAACTAAGCCAGGGTTTGCAAGCACTACACACTAACACCGGACATAATGCCCATAACACCCATTGAAGATGTCAGATATTGGCACTTGATTGATCCTAGCCTTGAAGGACAAACCGAGTGACTCTGAGAGGCCATCTATCTATTGGAATTCAAGGCAAAAGTGTCATGTTACAGTATTCCAGATACTACTCAACCACCAGGATTCTCTTCCCCTGTTCACATGTTGCCATGCACAGCAAATATATGAGTGGATGTCTCTATCCCAGAGAAGGTAAACTGTATCGTTGGGTTTTTGGTTGATTTGTTTTTAAGATTTATGGTTATGTATCACCAGGTTGGTCTGAAGTTAAAGAGTGGAAGGGAAATTTAAAGTTTTCTATCCTATTCATTAAAGTATGTATTTTCAAATTTTCAGTATGATTTCAGCCCTTTAGAGTTTAATATAGAAAGTCTGCCAAGCCTACCATTAAGTTATCTTCATCCTAGTTATACGTACAGGATTAAATTAGTCACGAAAGACTTGTGTTTTCTATTACAAATCGTTACTGTTCAAAATGAAAAAAAAACAACAACATCGATTAAGCAGAACTTCAGAACTATTCTGATTCAGAGATTTCTCAATCGATAACGTGTACACACTACGATAAAGTTGTTTGATAAAATTGCCTTTATTAAAGTGCTTTGAATTGTATTTGTGCTGAAAATAAAGATTATTTTACTAAATTTAAACCTTTCTTCAATATCTTATTTTGATTTAAACTGATTTAGGTTTGTAATACAGCATTTGTTAGTGCTCCTGTTATTTTGCAGCTCCTTCCCAAATGTTCAAGTGAAAAGTAAAAACACCACACATGCACCACAGAGAATGTCTACACATAAATCACAAACAGTTTAATAGTGATATATAGGTGTATGTGTGTGCTTGCAAGCGATATTTTGACTTTCACATCATTTCACATACAATTATTCACATTCTGTTACTTCGCACTAATATTGTTATTGCTCATAAGTTTTAAGTATTGCTGTTTCAATGGTATCTCTTATTTATGTATAGTGGTGACATTCTGTCGGCGCTGATGTATTCCTTACTTGATTGCGTTTACATTTTGAATGGTTTGTATTCTATTGAGATTGTGAACTTAATGATGCTAACTAAGTTAACCTGTTGAAATGTTGTGAATTTCAAATATTACTTCCACTTTGTACTTACCTATCAATATCATAAAATTATTTATTTTATTATTATCTAACTGTTTCTAAGGTTAAATATACACCTTGAAAAAAGTTAAGCACCCCCGTGTTTTTTTCAAGTGATTCAGATTCGACGTTCTTGTGACTGATTATAAATTACCATTCAATCTAAAC